ACAAGTTTTCATTTAATTTTTTTGAAGGACAGCAATTTATTACCCTGTTGTAAGCTGTCCTAAATTTCACTTTGCTGCACACATCCTGGAAGTCTGAAACTCACAGATGAGGAGACTCCCTCCCTGGCTCCAGATCTGGGCTCTATGACTCTATCGCAGCAGCTCTGTGGGCACATGAAGTCTGCCTCTCTCTACCCTCCCCTCTCCTTCCAAGCATTCCTTAGCCCTCTTCCCCTTCCCCACAACTCTATCAATCTCCCCTCCTGCCTTCCTCCTCCCCTCTGCACAGCTCCCCTTGTAGCTGCTCCAGATCTTCCAGCTTCCAATTTTCCGCCTGAGCATCCAGCCTGAGATGCACTTTGCCACCTGCCAAGGACACAAGGAGCAGTGGAGACACCAGCATTTCATCTAATCATAGAATAGTTTGGGTTGGAAGGGACCTTTAAAGGTCTCCTAGTCCAATGTCCCTGCTTACTGCAGAGACAACTTCAACTAGATCAGGTTGCTCAGAGCCCCGTCCAGCCTGAGCTTGAATGTTTCCAGGGATGGGGCACCTACAACCTCTCTAAGCAACATATTCCAGTGTTTCACCACCCTCATTATAAAAAAGTTCTTCCTTATATCTAGTCTGAGGAGTGGGGCAGGTCCATGTCCACGGGTATCAGCAAGGCAGGGATGCCAGCAGTGGGATGTAGCACAGCTCTCTACCGTAGGAGAGCCTGGGACACCAAGGGCAGGGGTGAGGCAAGGGTGTCCTGTGGTCCTGCTGTGCTCAAGGTAGCACAGGACAGCCTCAGAGGGCAACCTGCAGTGCGAGCAATGGGAACCCCATGATGTGGGTGCCAACTGTTGATATTCCCAAGGGCAGTGTGAGGGTGGGGACAGCCCATGAAGTCATGAAGGTCATGAGATTGATCAGAAAGACCTCCCTCACTCCACAGAATGGCACCGTGGAGCACAGCTAAGACACATCTGCTCACACTCTTGCCAGAGGTGTTGGCAAGAGCCGTTTGGCACTCAGGAAGGAAGAAGGTCTTTGTGTCTCATCTTAACACCCTTTGGATCCTATCTGTAGTTGTGATTTTTCCTCCTCTCCAGTGACAAGCACAGTAGCTGTTGTGAAACATGATGAGTCATAGCTGCAGGCTGCAAGGGGAAGGCAAGGTAAAGGGAGAGCAGGAGCAGAGCGAGACCGGATGGAAAGCTGCTGTCACTAACCAGCCTCCCAGTCATCGCTACGCAGCTACCACTGGCTTCTCTGCAGTACCACATCTACAGCTTTCCCTGGCTAAATCCATGGGATGAGGAGGAACTTGAGAACAGCCACGCTATGATGTTATACACTGCTGCCTGAGTACAGCATGAGGGTCACTGTGCTCTTTTAACCAGAAGATACAGTAGGAGCTGCCCCCTGTAATGGTGGCAAATTGGAAAGAGTTTGTCAGGCAGCTAATCTTGGAGGAAAGAGGCACTTTGAGAAGATCAAGAGGAACATGCCTGGATCAAGATATGCTGAAACTGCCTTTACTGTTGCCTTTCATGAAAATTGGCAACAATCACCCATCCTGGCTGCTCTGCTTCGCCATATGTCCCATCTCCAGTGGCACCACAAATATGCTGGGAAGAATCTTCCTGTGCCAAATGTTTCAAACACAAATATAGAAGGATAGAAGTCTTTTAGGTCACTGATTTAATTCACACTTAATATATTTTTCATGCAGTAATCTGAATATAAATATGACAGTGTCACAGACACAGGGCACCTATTCCAGCAGTGTCAGGTGCTGCAGTACTGAATGCTGCAGCAACACACCTGCTTAGATCCACAATGCTCATGTAGAGCGGGAGCAGGTATTTCTTAGATTGCTGTTCACCTGTGCATGGGAAACAGTTTTCCCATCTTAGAAAACACGTTCACAGCCTTGTAAATGTGCCTGCTCCATGACAAAGCTGGTGCTATTCACAGCCCTTAGTGAAGAAACCAAGACAGAGGAACCCACCTCCCTGTACAGGCAGCACAAGGACAACTTGCTGGAGCTACAGAACAGTTCAACTCAAATGACTGCTCTGCTTAATTCAGGTGAAAAACTTGAACCTCAGTCTATCACATATCAGCCTCAAAACTAATTTCAGTTAAACTGATCTTCTTGCTCACCAGAACGATAATACCATGCTCGAGGCCTTGTGTCTGGTTCAAACTGCAACATTTATTCCCATCAGAGAACTTCATTTTAAATTAATTGCATTTTTAACCAAAACCAAAACCAAAACACTGTCACTTAAAAATGTCCAGACAATTCTACACAATAATCTGCTCTGAGGCCTGCTTATCTCAGTGTTTCTACGAGAGCTGACAGTTGCTGAAATATAGGCACTAGGATTGCTAGTGTTGACAAGGCTTTAAAGCATCATCACACTGAGTAGCCATTAAAGGTTATATTTCATTGGAAGTAATGTAATTCAATTGCCATCACTCTTTAGTATGTCCCATCTCTGGAGGCTGACAATAAGCCATATCATCCATCAGATTTTAACCTGAACTTTGCATTCTGGCCCTACAGATTGCCAGTTCTCCATTATGAATGGCTTCATATTTTTAGCGTCATTTCTTAGGAAAAAAGAGGCTATCCAATTACACTGCACATCCATCTGCCTGCCTCTCTGTCCTTCCTTAGCTTTTCAACCAGTTTCAGTCAGGAGACAAAGGCCTTCAAGAAAATTAAGTTCCCATCAGTTTTGCGACTAATCAGAGGCAAAGAAGAGAAATCATTTGCCCGTCCCAGTTGGGAGCACTGAGCTACGTAATCCCTGCAAACTGACAAGCCGGTGAGCGTGGACAGCGAACTCTGTCTCTTTCTCCCTGCAAGAAACACAAAAGGCTGGGGAAATTGTGTTACTGCAGGGACAGAAGGTCAGGGAGACCCATGTCTTGGACTGTGAGACACAAACCCCTAGGAAAGCAGTCTTCTTTAGAACTGCATTTCAAGGAACAACTATTTTATTAACATAGTGAGCTTAGTAATTTACAAAGAATTTCTTGTGCATATTTCTTCAGCAAAGAATGTTTAGAGTAATTCACTCTGACAGTCAAACATATTGCAAACACAAAATACAAACTGCACAGAAAAGTGACGTAATATTTGCTTTCCCAAGTCTATGCACTTAAGCTCTATCAATAACCAGTTTCTTTTTCTGAATATCTGAAGTGTAGAGTAACTGATTCACTATGTTTATCTGTTTAAACGATTACTCTTACTGATGATTATCAACATTACTGATTCATATTACTGTTGCTGTTCTGCCTTTTTGCAGCCTAACCGAACCATAAAAATACTCATGACTCTGCCAGTTCTTTATCCCATTCATCAGCTGCACAAGGATTGTGACCTACGACAACTTACTCCTCACAGGCAACTTGTTTACATCTGTTATTGCATCCATTCCCTTTCTCTCTTCCTCTCCATCCTTCCAACCTTTTCCTCTTCTATATTGCCATTTACGCTAAATCCCTTTTCTTTGGTCTTTCCCAATTACTGGTCTTTCCCACTTACTGGTCTTCAACATCTCAGCATCTCCCCTTCCCCCATGTCCACACAGTCTCCATCACAGCCTTGCCCCTCATTCTACCAGGTTTTTTTCTTCCTCCCACATACAATGTCATGTTCTGTACCTTCTGGCTTCCTCCCCTAGCCTGCTCTTTGCTCAGAAGACAGTCCCATTCCCCTCTCTACCTTCCCTCTCTCACACAAAATGTTACTAGAAAGGGATCAGTAAATCTGGACACCCCTATAAAAAACACTTCTGCTGGACCTTCCTGGTCTCACTTCCTCACACTCCTCCAAGGATCATGTATATGGAAGCTGGACTTCCCTCTTATTCCTCCTGTTTTCACTTGTCCACTCATCACTGTCTTCTCATGTTTCCTCCCACTCTCACTGCTGTCCCACTCAGTTCCTTCTCCACCCTTTTCCCAGTTACCGTTATTCCCCTCTGACGCAGGTATCTTCAGCTACACACAAAGCCAGCCTCTATCACTTTAACTCCTTTTTGATTGTCTCTCTTTGCAACATTTACACCATCCGTCGACCACTGTCACCTTCTCCTCCGTGCTTCTAATGAATCCCAGTGAATATACAACCTCCCTTCGCTGGGGACATTTGCTTATCCTTCAAATCTGCCATCTTCTTCCTCAAATACAACTGCTTCTCTAGTCCTTGTCAACTTTGGAGGTTGACACTTTACTGCTAAAAGAGGTTGCCTTCTAGTATTTGGGGAGTTACTAGCTTGATTTCAGATTCCCCCTCCCCACAATCTATGCAGGTGTGTACATCAGATGTCTCAAGTATTCCCAGGTAAGGGTCACACTGCGTGCACACACACATACATGCAGGTAAACTGGTTTGCCAGTCTAACCCACATCTGAAATAGTAAGTTTTATGCTTCCCTCACACCCATTACTCACTCCTACTGCCATCCCCCAAGGAGCACCAGCTGAAGTTTCAGGACAAGACCACCAAGCCTCTTGCCCCCATTCCTATACCTTTTATAACTTTTATCCATTCCTATTTCTCATTTTCTCATCCACATATGCCACTCTTTAACCCCCCACACTTTCTTTTGTCAGTTCCTAGAAAGCTCTCTGCCCACGCACAAAAGGCATTGACTTTGTCTCATTTTAGATCTCTACAGAAAGGACAGGTTTACAAATCTTACAAGTACATCCTTTAGTCTTGAGACACCAGCCCTGGCCATCGGTCTCCACTGCTTGTATCTCAATTGTCATCCATCTGCATTATTACTCATTCCTGATTTTGTCACCTTTCTCTCTCCTATATTCATTATACCACCCACAGGGTCTTGTTTCTAATTAGACTGCAGGATACTTAAAGCAGAATCAGTGCTTGTACAGCACCTAGTGCAACGGGGGCTTGTAGGACCTATCAAGTATTGTTCCCACAGAATGTAAGGATCGTGACTGGCCAAGACAACTGGGAACTTACCGAGCCGTACAGTTCCCCTTTCTCATTCATTCCAAGGTAGAGTCCACTGTCGACTCCTCGGATGCTGACCAAGCCCACTGCTATACTGATAAATTCCAGTATACCTGTAAAATGCAGGAAAAAAACAAACAATGTACACGTTGTTTCCATTGAACATTTTTTTCCAGATGTGACTTATCCCCAAGCAACAAGCAGTTATTTTCAAAGGTGTTTTCCCATTTTCAGAGTTGTTTGGAGGAAAATGAGGAACAAATGAATATATCTTAAAGTACGACACTTGAACAGTGAAGTCCTTTGAGTCTCTGCCAGAATGATGCAGTGCAGACCAGATTAAAAGATTACTCTCAAACTTTGTCATAATTTCTAAACACAAATCGTTCTAAACACAAATTTCAGTCATATTCTGATTTGCACAACAAATAATACAAAGAAAAAAACACCAAGTTTTTAGATTGCGAAAATTAGCAGTATTAAAGAACCTATGAAATTTGTCTCGCAAAATAAATTCTGAAAGAAATACATTTGAATCAGAATCATGAGTTGAAAACAATGTTACACATGGAGCCAAAAGATCTACTTCCAGGCATCAATGAAACAGGAACATGTGGAAAGATTTACTCACAGTATGATCTTCCAGAGGCTTGAGAAATTAAAATCCTTAGTATAGTGCAGAGTGTCACATGTTTCTGTCTAGGTATTAACCATCTCTCTCGTGTGTTATTTTTTACTCATCTCAAATTTAAAAATTGAAATATTCTGACCCTAAGTAATAGTGTATAAATTATTAAATCTTCCCGTGCATGTAACAGCAACCTCACACAGACACTTGTGCACTAGAGATGAGAACATTTTGCAGAGAAGCAGTGCTTCTGCAAAGCTCCTAGGTTCAGCATCAACGCGTGTGGTACAGCAAGTGTCTGCATCAAATATCAGCTCATCTGGTTCTGAGGGTTTGGGGGTTTCTTGGCAGCCTTCCCTGCAAATTGCTTACCTCCTTCAATGAGGATGCTACCAGTCAAACCTTGCATAAACCTACAAGCCTTGTGGAAAAAAACTGAAATTGCTTCCTATTTGGGAGCGCTCGTGTAAGATGGTAATGATCTCACAGGAGTCATCCAGCAACATTCAGGAGCACACTGCTGTATTACGCTACTTTCTGAGCCACAAAATAAAGCACAGAGTAGCATTTTCAATATATTTTGTGAATTTTCATGTCTAAGCACTCCACATAACTATTTTTAAATATTATTGGAAACTTACATTTACATGAAATAATAAAGTAACAGTATAGTATGTGTTGAGCCTCACGTGGCCAATAAAAAAGCACTTTCATGGATTTTTTGAACAATTAATTTGGCATCTCCCGCAAAATAGCTGAGCACTAATCAATAACAGGCATGAATCACATCAATCTAACACAGCACAAGTCGAAGCCAATAGGGAAAATTTACAGCCAAGCTAATGTAAAGATGAAATGTATTCCCTGTAAGGGACTATTGATCATTACCTTATATATTATTCAGTACTACAAACACCAGAGTCTTATTGTTTTGATAACCCTGTTTTAAGGCCTGGGCATCTTAAATTATTCTCTACATATGCACAAATAAAAAATACTGGAAGGAAATATTTAGTAATTATGGAATTATTTTTAAGTAATAAAAAGTGGTAGCATGCTGTTTATGTGGTATATATAGTATCTCAGATACAATCAATCCATTGAAACATTTTAAACATTCCCATTATATCTGGACATGAAATACTTCCAGATTTCTTACTAAAGACTTCTTCTGTAAAGCTTTTACCCAGCTATCACATTACCTGATCCAGATTACCAAGCAATTTTAACTGAAGTTAAATCTTATGTTAAGTGAGTAACACAGCTAAGCTAGTAAGTCTGGCATCTTTCTCATCAGTATAAATGTAGACTTTAATTGCTGTCCTCATTTCAAATATCTGAGTACATGCTGCTTAGTGTGTCAAAAGAACAAAAAAGCACTGTCACATCCTATTGTAAATGCAGAAGATGAATTTAAGGTACTTGGCAAAGCACATCCACATACTTGAGATCAGAATAGAGACTTGTTCGTTTGAAATATTCAAAAGCCTATTCACAGCAAGTTTTACATGCCATGCTGTTAAGTTCTTCAAGAGATTATCTGGGGCCAAGCATGCAGTCTTACACAAGTCTTGACAGTTTAAGGATTGCATTATTTGGCCCAACACTCCTGTGAATATTTTCACTGTATAGCTTCTATAACGTACAGATAGTACTTAGGACCTGAACCAGATATTAAAATAGATATTCCTCTTCAAAATGAGGCTGGACCAAACGAAAATCAGGACAGCATCAAACTTGAAAAGCTAGGGCCGTATTTATAGCTAAAAATGGCAGAGATAAGAGAGAAGAAATAATTGTCTCAGTACACGGGATGCTGAATATCTTCTTGTCAGACACTGAACGTTTTCTTTAATGACACCACTTCAAGGCAAAGACCCACTCCTCCACAAAGAGGTTAAGACTAAAGTTCTGGGGAAAGTTACTCCTATGTTCACATCAGCCCTTCATGCACCTTCTTCCACATGATCCACCTTTGAGCGAGCTGAATGGCAGCAGGACACCAGCCTGACAGTGAAGGCCAGCCCTGCTCTCCTGCCAGGCTGGCAGGAGAGGCGCGGTGGGTCGTTCACACAACATGAAATTTTAACTTTCATCTACTTTAGCTGTTGAAGACCAGACCTACAGAAGCATTTGCCTTGGCTTTAAGCAATGAACATCTCTGCAGCTACACATCTTTTTGTTGTTGCTGTTCCACCCTTGGCACATTTTTGTCTTTGGCTGTATACAGGCTCTCTGTATAGCTGGATAGAAGCGGTTTGGCTTCCCCTGAGCACCTTACCGCACCATCAATGAATACGGCACAGAAGCATCTCCGACAGACACTTCTTTAGGGAATCAGGGAGAAGGGAGGTGGTGGCGGCCCCGCAGGCAGAGCGCGGAGCGGTGCTGCCATGTGCTGAGCACCCACCCCGGGAGAAGCAGAGGGGAGAGGAAAGC